GACACATGATACTATCACGGATATTTGAAATCCATATAAATAATAGCAATTATTTACATGAATCCATATAAATAATATTAATTATTTACATGGATTTCAAATATCCGTGATAGTATCATGTGTCATCCAAACGTCATCCCAACGTCATCCAACATTAATATTAGGTCATATCCTAATTAGTAGAGATGAGAGTAAATTTGGATAATGCTAGGTCATTGCATACAGGCCTTGTCCGGGAGCGACATGGGCTGCGGCATACCTGCCGCTGATTGATCATTCGGTGAAGTGAGAAGCTTAGATCCACGCTCTCGTACGGCCGCGCTTGCGCAGACGGCCTCTCAGGCGCTCGGGGCCAACGTAAGGCTTGGTCACTACTTTAGGTTTCATCCAACAACTTACCGTCAAGTGTAATACGAGTCGGACACTTGTATATATTAATATAACATCAACCCAGTAAAGGAACAGCTTTCGCAGGTTTTACTACGCGCCAGAATATACTCAAATGATTGATAAATACTCTTAAATGTAATATGAATCATAATTTATTTTTCAGAGGTTTCGTACGGGCGCAAATGTTGGATGAGCATCAGCCATCGAGCACAGCGCAATCTTGTTCGTACCATGGACACCAACAATCGCGAGCAAACGCAACCACCAACGGGGCGACCAGTGTGGAAGTACAGCCCCAAGAAAAAGCCAAAGCAGTACACGAACACCGTAGTCGCGTAAAGTGAGAGATTAACGATCATAAACTTTTATGAATCCTATGGAATGCCAGCTACATTCGACGCCTTCTAAGGCCACTTGACGGCCAACACCCGCATAACAGCAAGGAAGACGGTGTACTCTTGGGTAGTCAACCGAATCCATATCCAAAGGATGGGATCGAGTCCAACAACAGCAAAGTTGCGCGGCTGACGAGCACTTGGAATGGGGACAACCCTCACGCGTCAGGCCCAAGAGCAACTGCTACGTTGGGCCCTTGATATGCGAAAGGACGGAGTGCTTGTAACGTACAGCATGCTCCGCATCATGGCGGTGGAAGCTGCAATCGACTTGGGCATTGAAGACCACGAGTTTTTGGCTGGATGGCACTGGGTCGATGGTGTCAAACGCTGGTATGGACTGTCACTACGAGCGCGCACCCGGGTGGGCCAAGATACTCCTGAAGACGGTTTAGAAGTGTTTGAGTCCTTCACGCAACGCGTTCAAACCATCATGCGTAGGAACAATATTGACTGCGTCTACAACGCTGAACAAACGGGCGTGAATTATGAGTACCTTCCAACAAAGACCTTGAATCCCACCGGCGACAAGACGACCTGGGTCAAATGTGGCGGAAAGACGAAGGAGCGTGCGACCCGCCATGCTCTTGGCGGATTCGACAGGCGCAAAGTACCCGCTGTTTTTGGTGCTGCGCAGCACGAAGTCCAAGGTGAATAGCATCGTCTAAGTAAGCTTGACCGAGCGGCAGGGCTTCGGGAAGGGAGTGTGGAAGAGCGTTGTCCCTATGCAAGATCAAACCGATTGTCAAATCTACGGCAATCCAACGGCGTGGTGGAACGCGAAGATATCGATGGAGTTTTTGAAGTACCATTTTGCAGTTCGGCC